GCATCTGGGCAACATGGCACCAACTCAGTCTCTTTGGGGGTTTCCCCAAGGCTGCTTCCTGCCCAGGGGCTCCTCTTCCACGGATGTCACCAAGTACCGCAGAACCACAGAAGGGCATGTGCTTCTGGGGTGCATTTGGCTAGCCTTCTGCGCCCTGCTGGGCTCTAGGCTCTGAGACGTTGCCCCTATTTGGTAGCTACGAGAGCGACGCAGGCCAGAACCAGACAGGTAAAGCGCCTGCAATTCCGATTAAGGTCCTGATCTGGCAGCTGGCTTCGTGCTGCAGAGGCTGGAGAATAATGATTCCCTCGGTAGGAACAGGCTAGCCGCAGCTGCAAGCATCCATGGGGGCATTCTTTCTTCAGGAGGGTTCCCAGCTGGTCTGCATGCGGCAGCTCACCAGCAAGCGCTGGTGGGCCCTGGGGGTGCTCCCCACAGCATCCTGCCAGGGGCCTGGTAGCAGGCTTCCTGGGTCTCCCCCTTCCCTCCGCAGAGTCTGGTATGAATCAAAGAGCCAACAAAATCGAGGTCACTGGCAAAAGAGTTTGAAATTTTGAATGATTTTTATTAAACACCATTAGTCTACACTGCACAGTTAATGAAACAGCAAAGCTCCAATCTCTTAGAAGAACGATGATTGATCATGGATCGGAACAGCAGTTCCGTGTCCCCTAAACCCATCGTGAGCCTGATGAAGGAGTTATTACCATCTCAGGTCAGAAGCAGAAAGGGGCGAGAACTGCAGCCTGGACTGGAAGGGCTTCCCTACCCGCTACCCCCGGCCCCACCCGCCTCGGCCCTCCCCACAATGCAATTTGCTTTGAGTTGATGGATTACAGAGGGAAACGTGATGCTCTTGGGAAAGGGGGTTTCTAGACTTGTGAGGAGGGGAACGGAAAGGGAATTCACACTTTTTCCTTCCCCGAAAATATCAGATGGTAGGATTAATGTCTGAGACCAGCCTATCCGATTAGCCTCCTGCCAGGGTCAATGCTGATCATCAATACACAGTTGCCAGTTCTGTCGCTGGAGTTTGCAAACACTGAAGAGCAAATGAATCAGAGTTCCATTATGAGAATAAGGCTGTGCAAGTGGGAATGAGAACAACAACAACGACAACGACAACGACAACCAAGAAGAATTTAGTCCGCCAGTCGCATAATAGAGCAAGCGACAACGGGCGCCATATTCGTTCCGCACAGAACTGAATTTGGGGGCACGGAATCGACCCATCCATTCAATGTTGTGTAGCTCTAGTGTCTCGCCACACATTTTCTCCGTGGGGAGAGTGATGCCTCTCTAAGCAAGCAGTTCATTGCCTTACTGAGTAGTCCTACCCAGTGATCCAGTTTGCTGTCTCCCACCTGCCACTCACACAGGTGGAATTTTATCATGTCTGTTGAGAGGTACGTGAGGGCTCCTCCCTCACAGCTAATTCAATTCTGCCTTCAGAAATGCTTTCCAACTTCATTTTCCAACTTCAGCCTCTGGGATGCGAATTTGAATAAAACACAATCCAAATTAGATAGCTCTGGGAAAGATACCGAGAGGACAAGTATCTTCCCACTGAAGACCCAATCCAATGCAGTCTAGCAAGGTGATGTCCAAAGGAAAACCCACCATTTGGAAACTCAGCAAAACACATTTTAGCCAATGGTTTTGAATCAAGCAACTTGGTTATTGATTGGAGATTTGAATCGTTTGATGTCATTACGCGGAAAAAAGGCATCCCAATCTCAAGTCTTTGAAAAGTTATCAGCAGCTAATCTGCTTTTCCAATTCTGTCATCCAAATAGAAAACTACTAGTATTTTCCCAATGACATTATTAAGTCATTAACAGTCTACAGGCTGGCTAACAACATGCTCACGGCTAAATTCTACCCCGAGGACCACACTAGTATACTCTTTTCAAATTAATCCTACCTACCATAACTCAGACAGTAATATGACAAAACCACTAAAAAATCCAAGGTTAATTAAAATACAAAGCCAAGCCAACATCGTAACACAAACTTGTCAAACTCTCTGTGGTTGGAGCTTGGGTGACAAGTGAAGGCGTATTGGTGGCCCTACGGGGGTCCCGTTTGCAGGGCTGAGATCCTTCTGTGTACTTGCTCGCTCAGGTGGAGCTGCCCGTTTCTCTGCCCATTACCCTAACCCCATGTGCTTATTGTGAGATGCGTCTCACCAAGCCTCCATCAAAGTCTCGAGGCAGGATCTCTCACCGCCATCCACGTGTCTTGTATCCCTCCCACAAACTGGTACACCGAAGAGATTTACTTGACAAAATCCCTCAATCCCTCAAATAGCTGCACACCTACGACACACATCACCATTTACAATGTGATGAATAGAGTGCCTAGAAAACAGCAACAATCCTTAATCAGGAAACCGAAAGACGTCCCACCTCCAGGGAGAGGAGGATAATTCACCCTCCATGTTTAATTGGTTTCTAAGCTGCTTTACAAATGGGTCTCTGCTAAATCATCAGGTGGTGATCCTGAGCTCGCCTGTCAGACTTGGTCATTGTGCCACTGAGTTGGCACACACTTTTACATTTAGCCACCAGAGGTGACGCATCAGGCAGCTAGCAGGATGCTCTGCTGCTTCCGCGCTGTGTGCCACGTAGATATGATGACGCACTGAAACTAGAGCTACGAGTCTTTCATTCATGAGGCAATATGCTAGTTTTCCCGGGAAACTGCCCCTAGCATTCTAATGTCTACTTTCCAGAGGTTGAATTTCAAGAAGAATCTACTCCTAAATCCATGATGGTCTAGGATCGTGGTCTAGGTTGAACTTGCAAGGCAAGCCGGCGGGCTTCATCATATAGTCATAGTCAGGCACTCTACCTGATAAGCCGTGGAAAACACACAGAGACCTTGAGTCACTGCAGAGCCATCAGCTTCATTTGTATAGGCGACACCCACCTTGGGTGTCCGGAGTCGTTCATAGGATCATTTTCCTCATTTAAGAGGCGCAGAAAAGGTTTTCTCGGGTTTCATTGGTCTGTGTGTGTGCCTGCGTGTGTGAGGGTTGATGCTGAGACTGCCAACGTCCAGCTCAACCGTACTGGGAGCATGAAAAGTGCTGGTTCAGCTGCTGGGACGGCTCCCAGCTGTCAACTTTTCACAACGTGGCCTCAGCCATTGGAGGACAACGTCCACAGCCCTTATGATACAACAAAGGGCCTTCAACTCAAAGATGACCAGAGCGGAGCTCAAGTCTGGCTCTTTTGCAACTGGGGATACAGCTAACCTTGACAATGAGAGTGCGGAGTGATCCCTTGCCGGTCTTATCACAGACTTGCGTGACTTGCTTTCAAAATCATAAAAGTTTGCATCTTTCATGTGTGTGTGTATCTATTATTTATCTGGTCATAACTCAGTGAAGAGAATCCAATAACTCAGCAGATGAAGGGCTATGTGGAATTAGATACCGGCAGGTAATTACAAGGAACTAACGTATGGATAGTTTTTACTACGTGTGGGGAATTCTTCTAGTGAGCTGGAACACCAAAGATGATATTTACATTGTGATGTTTAGGGACATAAAATGAACGCAGAGGATCATAAAGGGGTGGGGATAGTCGCAACTGACGCAGAAATATCTCCAAATCAAGGGAACTGTTCCCAATGTTTCAGGGCTCTTTCAAAACCACCCCAGGGTGAAGCATGACCCGGAGACTCATTTTTTTGTTGTTGTTAAAAGATTAGCTACTACTTAGAGAGTTTGAAGTTTTCTTCGGGATTTTCATGGAAATGATTCAAGCTAATATAGACTTGAATAAAATCAGTGATTGTATTTCTGTCAAAAGCTAATGAGCCCCCCCCCCCCCAAAAAAAAAAAAAAAAGGAAAAGAAAGGTAGAAGAAAACAGAAAGAAGTGAAAAAGAAACCCTGTAAAATAGAAAATGGGGATAATACTTGGGGAAGTCCAGATTTTAAAGCCACTAGGAAGCAAACTGTATATGATTACTTCTAGGTAGTGATAACTTGACTTTTGTTTCCAGAGATCTGAGCAAAGCACACACACACACAAAAAGTCCCGCCAGTTGTGGACCCCGCCAACCAACTGCAAAAGAGGCAGAGGTGTGCATTCCCTGGACGGTTTCCAGACCCCTCCCGTCTCTCATCTCTAAAACTGGAGTGTAGCGTTTTGGCTACTAGGGGGTGCACTGACTGAACTGCCCTCCAAAGGAGAGCTTTACACAAAGAGAATGCTGGGTGAGGATTTACGCTTCGAATCACGGAGTTCAAAAATATTTATGCCAGCTGATGCCTTAACGTTGTCGACATCCATCTTGCCACTCCTTCTCATCCTTGAAGTTTTTCAAATAGGGAATCAGGAAAGGGATACTAGCTAAAAAGTCCTCTGGCTGCATTTCAGAGTGGCATTGCCGTGCTCATTAATTTTCTGAAATTTGACTTTCTCATGTTGCTACAACATCTAACCAGTGGGTTTCGACAATGAAAATTCTCATCTGAAAACTGAGTCTGTGGGAACCACAAAAGCTTAACAAAGGATTCTGAAATATGTTCTTGTCTGGACAGAAGAGTGCAGTTTGGGGAATGGCTATTGCTGAAAATTTGAATCTTTGCAGGTCCTCTGTGCCTGCGTTCATATATAGACACACACACACACACACACACTCACATATATATATATATGTCTATATATGACATTCCGTTTCACTTCTCAGGAACCTGTTCTCACAATTGCTTTCCATCCTTTGTTGTGGGTAGTGTGGACTTAAAACAATACTGTAGGGACTGTGTCATTCCATCAAGCACGAAAGGATGGTGGGATCTGTGAAATGCATATAAAATACTGAAAAATGACTAAGTGATAAAAGATACACTGCTCAAGGTGTAGTGTCCACTTACAATGACTTCTGTTTTTCACAGATATCAAAAGAAGCATAAAAACAAACATAATCAAAGAGAATTTTCCCAAATGAGTGGAGTTCCACCAGTGCTGGAGATGGGGGCACACCCCACTACAACAAATGGGCGTCGATGCGCAGCCAGCACAGTCCCTGGCGAACGTAGCGGACGAGATTGGTCATGCTGCTGTGCTGGGTCAGGGGCCCCATCAACGTGTCCAGATCGCCAAAGAATTCTGAAAATCAGAGCAGACCTCGGTCAGGCCTTTGAACCATAGCAGGACCACAACCACGCGGGCGTTGGACAAGTTACAATCCTGGGGAGGTTTGTGAGACACGCACACACACACATATCACAGTATGCATATATTACCTATAAAACATATCTGTCTGTATATTTATATATGTTTATAGAAACATATATTTATGTATTGAAAATATACACATAAAATTACGTATCTAAAATAAAATGTATCTAAATATATTTTATATAAAACATGGAATTTATATTTTTATATATTATAAATTTACAGTTAGAAAGGGGTCTTTATACACAAAATGGTAGGGAGCCATGGTCTATATGATACCAAGCTGTTTTTCATTCTACGCGTTATGGAATTGAAAATATTCTCTTTTCCTTTTGTCTAAATGAACTGAGTATCGATGTTTCTTGGCTTGACGTAGACACAGCTGGTGAGCCTAGACAGCCATTAGCGCCATCGGCCTCTAAGGCCAGATAAATATCCAGGAGGCATCTGATTTGGTAAGTCTTATTCCTTTAGGGAAGGAAAATGACCTGTAAGGATCTGTCGCATAGCACTTCCCCTTGCTCCCCCCACCCCGCTGGCACACGGACGGCAAAGACTGCCTGGCCGATTCCCCTCCAGCTGACTCGGGGAAGGAATGGCACTGAGGCCCTACTACTAAGCAGTGGGACCAGAGTCTTAGACTGTCTGCTTTGGGGCGGGGTGGGAGGTCTGTGGGAAAAACTCTGTGATGCCTAGAAAGCAGCTAGGCTTCCCCTTTGCACGTCTGTCTGGCACTGCGTTGATCTCGGTGGGAAGGAAGCTCTTGGGCGTCCTGTTCCCTCAGCCACGAGGAAATCACTCCTGTGCTGGCTGGGGGCGGGGGGGGCGGGCG